TCATTTATGAATTGATTGGTATCATTCAATTGCATAATTGAATCGATTTGGTGTTTCAATTTTGGATTTTTTGAATATCTTGAGTTCGAAACTGTTCTTGGTGTTCTTGATCAATTTAATTTGTTTTTGGATGAAATTGGTGTTTAAAACTTGTTTGTGGAAAGTTTTCAACGTAATTCCAATCATTCTAGTGAAAGGGTAACATGCATGGAAATGAAAGTATTTGCAGACCCAGACATCGAGTCGATGGTTGAAAAGCCGGAGGTTTCCACAGAAGAAACAAGGAGGTTGTTGGGTCTGTTAGCAAATGTTGGATATAATGATGTCTTTGTAAATGAAGTTGGTGAAGTTTAGGATTTTAATGTTGAATCTGAAGGAGAAGCTGTTGATTCAGATGAATTATTGTTTGACTTTGAAGTAGATATGAATGATGAAGAATCAAGCTTTCCATTTCTGTTCGAGTCGAAAGAAGATCCTGAACCAATTTTTGCGGAACCACCAAGTGTTCCTTGTACATCTTCGATGCCTCAAACTTCAAATGTTCAATCTTCAAGAAGGTATGTGCCTATTGCTAAGAAGCTTGAAACTCCAGGGTGGGAAAAATCTAGAATACGAAAACCTTATCTTGAAGACTTGTATACTGACAATTTTGTTCGTCACTTAAAAGCTTTAAGTGTTGATAAAGTCTTGGGTATTCGTAAAGAAACTGTTGAATACCTTAAAGAATATAAGTACTTCCTTAAAGCCAAATGCCAACCCGTTCATTTTGTGCAAACAAAGCACCAGATTGTCTCGATAAAGAAGGTGGAAGCCAGAAGACTTGTAAGAGTTTGGTATCTAGTTTTCTATGTCACAAGGCAAGATGGTAAAAAATGGAACTTTAGTGAAGCTGATTTTCCTAATTTGTACTTGGAAGACCAAGAGTTTATGTATCATGATATCAGAAATCAGACTGTCACATTGGAAGGAATCGTCATAGGATTAGAAGCTATTAAAAGGGTTCTCAAATGTCAAAGCAAACTATCTTCAGTTATAGATGTTCATATGTGCTTTGAAAGTAACCAAAAGCATGTTAATCTGAGAAGGCCAAATAAGGATTTAGAAGACGTTGATGGTTATCCTTTGTATATGATTCTAGAAGATCCAGAGTTAGGTGTGATTATGAAAACTCTCATGATGCCAAAAGGTTTCCAAGGTTTAGTGAACTCAAAAAGTCCAGTGATGGAACAATCAAAATTATAAGGAAGCGGCCTGAATTGAAGAAAGCTCAATATGACAAAGCATCCGGGGTCAAACAAGTTGAATTTAAGAGAAACGTTCTTACTTCTTAAAACTCTGGAGTTACTTGATGAGAAGATTCAGTACGAGAATGCTATAAGAAGGTTTGAGACACATCTGGTTTTAGACGTTCGAGATTTTCAATTTCTAGAACTTGAATCCAAAGGGGGAGAATGTTGGGTTTAATGCTTTATGCTTAAAATGTTGTATTCAAGCTTTTTATTTCCCTTCATATTTTCCTTGAATTAATAGGTTGGTAACTTTGTTTCTTTTGTAACTTGTATCCGAGAACTTTGATTGTAATCTTTGGAAGCATTCAATACAATTTAACCTTTGAAGAATATTCTCTCTACTCTCTAATATCCGCCATTGTTGAATTCTTTGTTCTTGATGTTAATTTGAATGATTGATTGAATCTGGGAATGTCAGTATAGTTTTTATTTCACGTTCAAATTGTGTGCGAATTAAAGCTCGAAAATGTAAAAATACGGAATAGACATCAGATTTTTTTTTTTTTTGCAAAAGGAAATGTCTGTAGAAAATTAGTGAAATCATCCAACAAGAATATATAATAACGATGGCCCGAAGAGTTTAAAACGGGAGACGTAAAAAGGTCACTATGAACTATGTCAAAAGGCATAAAGGTACGTGAAGTTGAAGCAATGAAAGGTAATTTAACATGTTTTCCAAGAGTGCATGATTGACAAACATTAGAATTACTTAACCTACTACATGAAATAAATTTATTGCTTCTACGAAAATAAAAAAGGGGAGCGTCAGGGTGACCTAAACGGTCATGCCAAAGGGAAGGTGCCAAGGCCGCAAAGGTTGAAGGCGAAGTGATGATATACTTGTTGGCGATGATGGGGGTATAATTGACCTTAAACGTCACATCTCATTAGGTTCATCCCTATCCGAAAATCATTTACAGAAAAACCGAAAGCATTAAATTCGATGTAAACTGAGTTATCAGTAGTAAACTTTCTAACTGAAGCAAGGTTTTTGATTAGTTCTAGCATGAAGGACGTTGTTAAGAGAGAGAGGAGGGTACGGATGTGACAATTTTGTGTGACCATAAACTTGAATTGGAATATTTTGGCCATTTCCGACAATTATACCACGGCTATCGATCAAATTAAAGTAAGACGAAAGAGTACTTGATGTGGATGTCATATGTGAAGTTGCACTGGTGTCCATATACTAGCTTGAATCTGGCGGGTTGAGACCGAGAGTGTGCATCGCAACTTCGAGGTCAGTTGGTGTGGATGGTGTTGTCATTGAGTAAGTTTCGTGAGATTGTGGGCTAAGGATACTAAGTTGCGCTTATGGATTGTTGGACCGAGTCCATGGGGCTGTTGGTTGCGTCAGGTACAAACATGGTGGTACTACCCATGACATCTATTGCCACGGCCATTGTGGCTGCCAGGTTGCTTATTTCCTCCATTTCGAACATTGCTACCATGGTTGTTGCGGTTTCCATTGCCACGACCTTCACCCTACCACATCCACCCCCGTGGTTTCGTCCTCCACCCCCACGCTGCTGGCCCATGGAGGACCATTTTGATTCTGATGTGGTGACTTATGATCCAGTAATGTTGAGAATTTTCAGATTCTTTTAGCGAGGTTGTAAGCATAATGAAGATGGGGAGCCTTGAGAAGCCTTTTTGGCCAAACCGACTTCTTCAAGCATAAACATAGATCGTGCTTGGTAGAATTATGGGAGGGGACCACTTTGCCGGATTAGGGTTCCGACGCCATTGTAGACTTCGGTGAGATTCGACACCATTTGGAGAACATGTCGATGATTCATCATTGGTGCTCCAACATTTCTTGAGTTGGTCCTACAAAATTTTGAGTCGTTGGCAATATGCGGAGGTATTGGGAAAAAAATTTCATATTGGTGTTGGAAAATTCTTGCTCTCGTGTAACGGCACGAGAGTTTTTGTTATCTTGAAATATATCGCGTAATCGATTCCAAGCTTCCTTTGCCGATGCATCGGCTTCAAGAATTGTGTGCAAGAGGTCATTGGAGATTGTGGAATATATCCATTGGAGGACGGTGGCGTCAGGGTCGACCATATTTCTTTTTCTTCATTGGTGGTCGAGGAGGTGTCTTCTCCGAAGGGATGATGTGATCAATCACTCGGTGAGATCTAACATGGATTTTGAAGAGCTCCTCCACGTCGCATATTGGACGTTCACCATTTCAAGCATGATGGGTATGTGGTTTTTGATGTTGGATACGTCCAAAGCCGGGTGAAAAGATGAGTGAGCGGAAGAAGCAGAGGCTATTTTATCATACATGATTGGAAAAAGAAGAGGAGATGGGCAGTGACAGCGCATGGGAGAGTAGGGTTACCTTGGAGCTCTATACCATAAAAATGATTTAATCCTTGATCATTTGCATTCCAAACGATTAGGTATAAGTACAAAAATAGTGGAGATAATTTAGTCTATACAAAAGGAAACCTATTAACAACTAAATGTTTTGAGTATTTACAATTATTCTATCAAAAGCCACAAAGGGGATTGAAACGAAGTTTGAGTTATGTTTGGACTTGGTTGGAATTTTGAGACATAACTAAGTCGTTGGTGCTTTTGGTGGAGGAGGCATTTATGTGAGAATTGCTAACTTTGCTATCCAATTTTATTTTTTTGGTATATCGATGAAGATTGGCAAAGCCACTATTATTTGTTTTAATTTGGGCTAATTGAAGTGTCAACTTAGAGATGGTTATATATGACTTAAATCCACTATGCTACTCGGTAAAGCCACTTTGCAAGAGTAGTCGTAAGGGGACGCCACAGTACCTAAAATGAACTCAAGCATTTATGCAGCTACCGCACCTTGCTCGTCTTGGTTGCAACATGCTGAAAGTGGCGATTTAGCCAAGTCACAAAAGCTTTTTTCAAGGAACTGGGTGACGTGGTTTTACGACTCTACGTCGCATAAACCTGTTGCATGTTAGGGTTATTTTGGTCGTTATCATATTAGGGCTATTTTGGTAGTTATCACCTTCGCAAAAAAATTGCTTCCTCCATATACCGAACCTGTAATATAGTTTGTATTATTATAGCTTGCATTATTTTTTTCTCCATTGAAGATGTAATCTCCATCATTGTAAGAAACAAAATTGATAGCGACTGAGGTGCTCGACATCCTCCATGTAAAAATTTCGGTATCTCTCTTTACTTTCAGTGTGTTACTTCCATATGGTGATAACTATGTTGTTTGATGTTGGGTTTTGCTTAGTGGATATTGTTAATAGCCTCATCATTCCATTTCCGCGTTGAAACAAATATTTGAAATGCGTATCGAGGATGATCATAAGTAACGATTTTCAGTTGACTTATGAACTAGAACTTCAACATGTTTATTATGTGGATGATTTGTGATCAATGATCCACAACAAATACAAAAACATATATAACTTCACCTTACTACTTCCTAACAAGTAACAACTACAATAATGACCCTTATATACTCCATGTTTTAAAGTTCACTTGAAAAAACTAAATTATTTACAGCACGCGGCGTTGTGTTTTATTTGTTTGTTTTTGTGAACTAAAGTGTATATATATAGTTTGAAATTTTGTTTGGTGTTTTCTTCTATAACCAACTCTAGTATCATGTGCGCAATCAGATTCATCGATGTCCTAATATCTAGAAGAATTCAGCCTCATTAATCCTTGCTAGATTTGAGGTGGTTTTTGATGATGAGTTACAAGGAGATGATGTTGAGGAGAGTAGTTCTTGTCTTCACAAATCTTCTAAACATGCACTCCAAACCGCTCTCAATTCTCATCATCTTACCTTGCAGTCCCTCCAATTTAAATTGCACAATTCGCGTTTTTTCTGCCCATTCAACATGACCATCGCACAGGATGGTAAACAATGCAACATCTAAAGTTTCCAACTCATTCGTGATTCCTTCTTGCTTCTTGTCTTCTTGACATGCCATAGTCCGTTTGGAAATCAGCTTTGACACCACTACAGACCATCCATTTCGCTTGGTAACCGGGGATGCTAGGAACATCAAGAGAGATTCAAAGATAATAACGGTCATTTCGGTAACTTCCATGAAGACTCTAATCATTGCCATGAGATGGTGGTTATCAGGATCCGCCAACAGACCCATCACTTTTTCCGATTGTTTCAAATGTATAATCATCACTTTGGCTTCTTTCATCGTTTTCTTCCTAAAACATTTGTATTTCCCAATGCTGTCTTCCACGCTGGTGTGGCTCTTTCTCCTCCGTAATGCACACTGAATATCTCGAACATGTTCTTCCATTTGCAACACCACATCCCTTGCAGTACTGCAAACATCTAACAACTTCATGGATTCCTCCATTACCTCTTCAACCCAAATCTCCTTTCGGTGTGAAGAAATTAGATTCTGAGTTGCCAATGAATCAAGAAGATCATCCAAGCAATTGTACAACTCAACCAGCTGAGACAGACCGTTGGATATGCTGTCAGCAGATTGCTTTGTTGAAGATGATGCTTTAATCTTGTTGAGCTCCTCTTCAACTCCGAGAGTGCTTGGATGTGATCTGCAAGGCAAACTGATTGATTTTTTCTGGAATTTGCTGTTAAACCTTAAAGAAACAACCATTTTTGCCTGAAAATTACAAAGATTGATATTGCAACTTTCGGGTATAAGCTCTTGAAGATGGATGCTTATTCTTCATATAGTAAAGGCACACATACATATGCATGTGATGCCAGTATCGCTTTGCCGACTAAACTAAAAGTTAACCAATAAAATTAGCAGGTGTGCATATGCTTTTTGCCGAATCTCCTGCTTCTAAATGTGCTTTAATTGCCGAACCATTGTTTATTTTACATATTTAACATATGATTACAATATCTCCTGATTCTATATTGGATACACACTTGCAGGTATATATGTTATAATAAAGCTTCTTAGAATTTTAATTCTTGATATTTATGTATCACGTATCCAAATACACATGGTGACCAAGTCTAAAAGCCACCAATACCCATGCTTTCCTCAGCTGCTGCCATCTTATCTATGACCTAAATAACATATGTTACACATGGTTCCATTTCCATGCTTACACACACACACATACATATACATATATATATATATGTATATGTATGTATGTATGTGAAAGTTGCTTATATTAGAAGTTCTGTAAGATGAATATCTTTATATAACCCACGTGCCGAATCTAATAAAATCAAAATTCCAGCTATCAATTTTGTTGAATTTCTTTTAACTACCTTATCAATTAATGTATAATATAATGTTCTAGCAAATGACAGTGAGCCACCTAAACTTCCAAAGAAGGTTGACTATTTACTTTCGATAGGAGTTTTGGATTCGAAGACAATGAGAAGTCAACAAGTTGTGTAAATGTCATTATGTAAATCTATTATTAATGGAATATATATATATATATATATATATATATTAGTGGTGTAATTGTGCGATACAGCGCGGGTGAATCACAATTTTGAAATATTAGTTTAGCCTTGAATCATGAGTTTGTATAATTATTTTGCAAGTCAACTAATATATAAAGTTGAAGGTCAATAGAGTGTATTAGCAAGATCGATTGGAAAAATAATTGTACACATGTTGAGTTTCTAAACCCACATAAAGTTGAAGGGTTGGGGTGGGGTACATGTAGGATCTGAAACCCTTTCTGGTATTGTTGCTTCAAATTTCAGTTTACTTCAATGGAAAGAAGAGATTTGAATTTGAATTTGAATTTAGGTTCAAAATTGGAAACAAACAAAGTGATAAACAATTTTGGGAAGACTAAACATATTTTTTACATGTAAATTGAAACTTTGACCAAACAAATTATATGTTTTAAGCATTAATTTGGCATAATAGTTTGTACTTAAGAGATTTTTGAATCTCTTACATATATCGATAGTATTTTATGCTTTAAGACTTCTAATTAAGACTTTTGTTCTAAATGGTTATTAATGTAGTATATATATATAATATTTATTATTGTATTTCAATTGTTACCGATGATTTTTTTATTTATATTCCAATATGTACGTATTCAGTTAAATAACGAATTCCTATTTATTTTCTAATAACATATATTTATTTTACTAATAACTATAGTTGGTAAGGTGATTGGTAGTCATACGAGGTTACGTAGTTACATCGGTAGATAATGGCTAGTGATGCCCGATTGTTCTGTAGTACACCGAGTTAGGAAATTAGTAGTTACACAAGTTACTTAGCTAACCCGATAATTTTAATTATACCCGGTGCTTCATTATAACATCGTGCAAGTGATGTGGAGGAGCGGGCCTTAGTGTTCATGGAATCCGGCCGATGATTAGGTCTACGGGATTTTTTAGGCCGAAAGACGTCGTTTAATCATGTTATGGAACTTTTTTTTGTTTTTTGCTATTTTCCATTTCCACTTGGGCTTGTATGATTGGCTCATCAACTATTTTCAAACCCATTTCGTTATCTATATGTTGAAGTTGTAATCTCACTACTAAATAGGATGCTATTTGTGGCAGAAAAATCTGTTAGAAAACCCAATAAACTAATTGTTGGAAAACTCTATTTCCGGTGGATCATCCGTTTCCAATGGATGTAGTCTGCCAAAAATCAGTCACTGATTTAAAAAAAATCCAACTTTCTTGACTTAATTAATTAAATTAATAATTAAGATTAAATTGTCGGCCAATAAGATCGAATAAAGCTCAATAAAACTCTTTAAAGCCCAATAAACCCGATCAAAACCATATAAAACTCATTAAAGTCAACTAATATCCATTAAAATCCAATAAAACTGAATTTAAGTCATTACACCCTTTAAAACCCAATAAAACCGATTTAAAGTTGAAAAAACCTCATTAAAGTCAACTAAAATCTAATTAAAGCCCAATAAAACCCTTTAAAGCCAATAAGACCAAATAAAGCCTAATAGATCCATTAAAACCCAACAAACTCGATTAAAGCCAAATAAAACTCATTAAAGTCAATTAAGATCCATTAGAGCTCAATAAGACCGAATAAAGACCAATAAATCCATTAAACCCATTAAACCCACTAAAATCGAATAAAGCTCAATAAATCTATTTAAGTCCTATAAAACCCTTTAAAGCTCAATAAAATCGATTAAAGGCCAATAAAACCTATTGAAACCGCCAATAAGGCTCTTTGTGATACTTGGTGACTTATTACATGTTTGTATGCAAGTTTGCATTCCATATATATGTATGTTGTGTGTATTTGACTCGATAACACCCGTAAGACCCACTAAAGCTCAATAACACCCACTAAGATCCATTAAAATCCAATAAGACCCATCATGATCCTTGGTGACGTATTCGTGTTTGTATACATGTATGTACTATATATATGTATGTGATGTATATTGGATTCGGTAAGACAATTATGACCCACTAGGCCACTCACTACTAAAAAAAAGGGTATAACCGACGGATTTTTTTGGCAGAAATTCCGTCGGTAATATTTCCGACGGATTTCCGACGGATACCCAAAAAGTCAAAAAAAATCAACTTTTATCCATATCCGCCACAGATCCCCCACAAATCCCCCACTGAATTTTTCGGAAAAAAATTAAAATTATTTAAAACGGTTTTTCAACGGATTTGTGACGGATTTCTGACGGATTTTTTTACTTATTCTAAACCGTCACAAATCCGTCGGAAATCCGTCGCAAAATTTGTCTAATTTATTTAAATCAATTAATTAGTGTTAATTAAAAACAATTTCCGACGGATTTCCGACGGAATTTAATTTTTTTTTTTTTTAAATTAAATTCCGTCGGAAATTTAAAAAAGTTTTTTTTTTATATTTCTTTTTAAAGTAAAGTTAAGGAAAAACAATAAAAAAATATTTTTTTTTTAAATTTCAGACGGATTTCCGACGGAATAACCGTCGGAAATCCGTCGGAAATTATAAAAAATGTTTTTTTATATTTCTTTTTAAATTAAAGTTGAGAAAAAAAAACATTTTTTAAAATTTTCGACGGATTTCCGACGGATTTTGCCGTCGGAAAAACCCGATTTTTTTAGTAGTGACTATATAGCATTTAAATCGCATTAAGACCCACTAAAGCAATTTTTATTAAGAATAAATATTTATGGATATATAGAAAAACCAAAAATGCTATTTTTATTAAAAATCTACCACAAATCCACTACAAAATTTTTAAAAAGAAAGCAAAAAATAAATTTGGCAAAATTATAATTTGTGGCACAATTACCGGCAGATTGAGTGGTCCTCCGAAAATACCCCAATAATTGTATTTAGTTTAAAAATTATAGTTTTAACTTACCAACGAATTTCCGACAGACTACATCATTCGCCGGTAATCCGGCAGAGATTATTCTATCAAATATATTTGTTAAACAATCAAAAAATATTTTTTTTTTGAGTTAATAAAATTTGTGGCGGATCACCGGTGGTCCAGAGTAAAACCGCCGGTAATTTAGAAAATCAAGTTTTTAATTTAAAATCATTTAAACATTATTTTTAATATTACCTATGAATGTCAAGCGGACCACGACATCTGTCACTAATTCCACCACAAATGTTATTTCCGATTATAAAACCAATTTTTTTCTATAATTAATTAAGATTAATGACAGATTTTAATTAATTATCTAATTAGTTAAATTCCACACAAATCTGCCACTATTTTGATTAATTAATGTTAATTAATTATTTTAAGTCGGACATTTTTTGCTGGACTTTTTAAATAATAAATAAATAAATAATTCGCCACAAATTTGATTGAATTTTAAAAAAATCAATGGTGGAGTTGTGATGAAAGTCAATTAAAGTTGATTTTTTTTTTCAATCTGCAAGAAATTTGTCAGTATTTTTCCAGCGGACAATATGCCCGAAAAGTAGTGTCACATGTTGAATAATAGAACATTCATTTTTCCATCCAAATTTCGAGATCTCTCTCGGTTTAAGTTTGTGTCTGAGGCTTGGCATTCGATCGAATCAACAAGCTTTAGATCAAAGAGGTGATTCCTAGGTAGCCTCTGAATCAATAGGTTTAACTTTCGATTCGATTATCATACGCTGCATCATCACCAAAATTGGTATAACTGGTAACTTAAATAACTAGGTCCCATTCTTGATCCAGCTTTTATGAACTTATGTACAAGGTTTCTTGTAACAATTGAACCAGATTGCATTTGTTATAAGACGCATATGGTTGGGGAGTTGGGTTATATATATTAGTTAGCTCTTACGGATGCTACACAATTAGCGTACCAGGTACCAATTGCTATTCTAACTGGGTTATGTTTTCCATTTTCTAACATATTTGCTTACCTGTTTTCGACACTAACTTCCTGCTCTTTCTCTTCTTCTTTTACTTATTTAATGCATGATTTCCATATCTCAGTAGTGCTTATCTTTTAGATGTAGTTAGTTGTTCAAAATAGATTGCACGTGAAATCTATAGAGTAAATGTTGATTAGAGCCAAATTGAGTTGTTGATTGGTTGTTCTTAAAAATTTGAGATCGATAAATCTTTATTTCGAATCATTACTAACGAGTGTTTGGATGTTACTAAAGAGAAATGTGTTGGTTTACAGATTCTCATCTCAATTGGTATGAAATCA